ATTTTATATTTTATATATATTATTATTAGTCATTTTATATTTTACATCTGTACATTCTCTTTGCGCCTACGCATCGTAAATTATTCGTTCTCTATGCAAAATTTTTAGATCACAATTCGATCGATAAAAACCATTGTTCTTGCCGTCAAATTGAAGATAAGATATATCTCGTGACGAGACATTGATTCTCTCATCGCGCGATTTACTTTTCGTTTCAAATTTGCAAATCGCTTGCGTAAATTCTAGATAGAAGGTCAAGAACATGTGTGTCGTAATTCTGATTGATCGCGAATCGTATCAATTATTACGTCACGCAATACGTATCGTAAGATCGGAAAGACAAAAATTGATACACGAATTTTCCCGACGCGAGAAACATTGTCAACGATAACGAAACAAAATACTTGTTTTTTTTCTTTTTTTTTCGATTCAAACTTGTGTCATACGCGCTTCAGAAAAAAACGGAATTGCTCTCCTTATAAACAGATAAATTGTGTATCGTTAGTCTGAATCACGACAAGTGCGCGTGATATATGATTCACCTTGATTTGCGATTGAAAGATCGAAGATTTTATATCCGCGCTAATATCCGTCCTTTTGTTCGTGTTACAGTAATGCTGGTTGTTTGGCAAGGAGCTCGCCGTTGCCTGAGTTGCAGCGGGCAACGCACTAATCAGGGCCATCAATTTCACCATCATCGCGAGCTAATCGGCGAGAAGCTCGACCGGTATCATCTCGTTAGATCCAGGTAAGTGCCCTGTTCTTGTCGAGCGGTATTTTTGCCATATCATACCGTTATCTTTACGTAGTCACGCTTGTTATTCCTGACGATTGTTCATAAGTGAGGAAAAATTGCACGATAAAGTTTCAAGAAATGTAAATGTAATATATTTACTTAATATATCGATTATTTATAAAAATTATGGTATATGATAAACTTTAATAAAAATATAATTCTTACTAAAATTTAAAAATATAAAATAATATAAAATCGCTATAGTTCATTAAAAATAATAAGATAGGATAATAAAAGAATACATTATATTATCAACATAAAATTTTATTATCTGCATGTATTTTTTATACAACAAATATTCTCGAGAGATTATTTGCGAAAGAGTCGCGATCGATATAAAATAAAGTCATGCGTTATTTTATTGTTTACGATCGAGGCGCGTGATTGATCGAACTAATTACACTCGATGAGTATTATGCATACGCGGTCTACGTGCATGTAACTCTCGTCGAGAGTGTTGGTACGCGTCTTATGTCAACGGACAAAGACAAATAATTCTCCATTCTCGTTGACCTGACCCCGCTTTAATCGCGAGGAGCGTGTGAGAGGAAAAGTTTCCATTGGTGAAATACCTACGGTATTTTGCACGTCTCTCAGAACTTGTTTCGCGAGATTCTTTACCGCCGGCAAATTTTTTGAGTCATCGGAAGAAGCGTCAAAATGAATAATCGACGGAAAAGCACATTGAAATGAATAATTGGTAAAGTCCTGTCTAATTACTTTGTATAATATAAAATTTTCAACAAAATTAATCATTGAAAAAATTAATTTCTGATATTAATAATTTATTTCTTTGTCCTTGAAAATGTTCGAGATATGGTATCATCTTTTGTAAGGATACCTGATCGTTTTACAGCTTAGTTTTACAATTCCTATCTTTTGCGGTTATTTTTAATTTATTTATACCATCGAAGTCACGTAGAGCGCGAACCTTCTTTCTTTCTTGCATTCGTGAGAATTGATTGTCGGAAAGCACACGTGGATCGTCGGTGGTATCGGGTCGGATTCATTGTGTCACATAGCAAGTTCTTGTTTTCAGTCTCGGCAGCCTTAACGATAAATTCGTGATAGAATGTCTATTATGTATCAGACACGTGCATGAAGAATACGCGGGGGCATTCACGCCACGCGACCACGCGTTGTATAACATGCTTTGCGAGCAGATCTTTCTTCGGTTGTATGCATTTTTTGAGAAAATGCACACGTGCACTCTGTAAGCACTTGTATATCGGGGTTTCAATCAATCTTCTACTGTCGTGTTATCGTGCCCAATATATATGTATATAAGTGATATATTTTTTCACGACAAATGTGCCGAAGTTGGTCTATGAACGATATTTTAAATAAAGGAGAAGTAAATGAAATTCGAATAATTTTGGCGGGAATAAACTAATCTATTTCCGCGAATATCCAATAATCTCATGTTAATATCGCGTTTATTGACGTATGATCGACATTTACGATTGATATTTCTGCGATAGCGATGCGATAACAAATTGCTATTAATGAAGAATCTCGTCTAAACTCGCGCGTTAATCACAGTAGCTTTTAATTAATTACAATCCGATTGACGATAAAACCTCGCGCGCCACTAATCTATTTCTTTCTCATTAGACAAATCACATGTACAAACGCGTATAGAGTAACTAATGCGTTAACGAGTATAAATGACGAGACTACGTCGGCCTTCACTTCGATCGTCGGCTTAGCAAAGCAGCAAGAAATATTCGCGGTCACGTGATAATTGCCGACGAGAGTGGCCGATGATTATAAGGCACTCGATTGACGTTCCAGAGCGTCAGTCGGCTACCGAACATTCGCGCGTCGACGTCTCTCATGCAAATCGCAAAACGTGTCGCATCGCCATAATATACAGGGTACTATCTTCGAATTGAATTTCGCACGTTTGCGCGTTTCTCCGCGATCTCCGCTGACACCGCTATCGTACACCAGTTCCCGAAATTGCGGTCGAATCGCGCCAAGACACACTTGTTACGTTCGACAAGAAATATCGAGTGAGAAAGATCGTTTTTTGAAATCAAAATCGAAATTTTTATTTCGTTGAAGACAAAATATATTTTAGAGACTTGCGTGAATCATACTTTCCCCTGAGCGTGATTCGTGTGAAAGAAAGAAAATTAAAGACTTTTGTTAAATTAGTGCATTGTGTGTGCGTTGAATCTCGCGGACGGCAAACATTTGTGTGAAAAAAGTGCCTTCAACTTTTCGAATTCGTACTTACGTCGAATTCATTATCTTGCGTGTAGTGTCTTGATTAAGGACGCAACGGAGAGGAATCGAAGGCTTCTCATACGGTACGTACAAGGTTCTCGATTGATTGATAAGTAACGGGTTATCTGTCGGAAATGCTCCTGACAGCGATTTTAATTGTCCTTGCTTCGCGATAAATACTTCCGCTGCAAAAATGCTTGAATATTTTCTCATGCAGCTTTTAAATTTTTACTGGCAATTAATGATAACGCTATCTGTCGGATAAAGACGATAGCGATCATGTAAGAATTTCAATTCCTGTGTGAACGAGCGATATTTTTAAAACACTCCTTATACAGGGGTGCGGTTAGAAATTAATTGCGTGTGGTTAGTAATTAATCAACATGATTTTATGGGTAGCGAAAGTTCTCAGTTTCCTTCTCAGCTGTTTTTCATTTCGCTCGAAAATGTATGTTTAGTATTCGCGTTAATAATCACTGCGATTTTTGTTTAAACGGCATAATATACTATCTTTTTTATAATATTTCATAACTTTGGTCTACAAACATACATATGTAGACACGCATTGTTAAAAAATATTTCTTAAAAAAGAAATGAAGAATACAATAGCATTGTTAAAAAATAATATAAATCCTAAAATAAAATTGATGAAAAATAAAGGAGATTATCGATGAGATGATCTTAATATTGTACTCATTCGTTATAATAACATTTTGTAAATTTGAAATTTACAACAAAGTCGTAATGATCGTATTAGGATGCATAGCGTATTTCTGCGGTTAACCGAATATAATACACGAGAATGATTTTTCCGTGAAGCTTATTTGCAATTATTACGGTGTATGATCTATTACACGGTAATAATTGCAAATAAGTGGATTGTCATATAAATAAGCGGATTTTGCTTATTTATACGATAAGAATTGACAGCTGATTTCAAGAAATAATCCACGCGATTTTATTATCTAAAACAATAAAAAATATATAAAACAATAAAATGTACAGGACATGCACGTTAAAATAAAAAAATACTGTAAAAGTTAACGAAATCATATAATAGATACGAGAGAATCTGAAGCCAAAGGTTAAAAGTTATGTTTCTTATTGTTAGACGTAACTGAATGATCCGAGCACATGCTACGGTCCTCGTATTCCTTCGTCGAACTTCGTCGCATAACCATATGTTGACCAATAGACGAATGATGAACCCATATCTTGATCATATGCTTGAGAGACAATTCAGTTCATTTCGGGTTGCCATTGATTGTAAAATAGATTAAGGGCGATATCCTAGAGCTAGGACATTTTCTTCGCTCCTCAATTTTTTTCATTATCTTAATGCTCATTCTATCTTTTCTTACTTTTCGTATATCTCTTTCGAATTATCAGAACACTCTTTTAGACGGTTCGTTTTTGTCATCAGTAAATCCATAGATAGCATTATTTTTTCTTCTAGAGCCGGTTTTTTCTAACGTTAGCTTTAGATGATTTCATGACGAAGACAGAAAAATCTATATATTATATTGATAATTTTTTTTCGCGATGTGTAGATATATACGTTTTTGAAAAAAAAAAATATATATATATATATGTCGTATATATTTTATCTCTTAAAAATTTTTTGTATTTATAATATATTATACGTACAAAATTATAAATAAAATTCTCTGTGCTAAGTTTTGTCGTGAAAAGATTATTTAAAGTAGGCTTTAATCGGTTACAAAAAATTTTATATTAAGTATATCACAATCATTTTTTTTATATATATATAAAAAGATGTTCATTTTTTGGGACATGAAGGAGAAGAGAAAGAGAAATTCATTAAATTTTTTTGTTTTTGCTCTTTTTTCCAATCATGACGGTTTTATTATTTTTTTATGAGCATATATTATATCACCAATAAACATATCTTGAGACTAAATAAATACTCATAATTGCGCACCTATATTGCGGTTCGACTCATTTATTTTGGCGAAATTGACTCTAAATTTATTGAAGTTTAAAATAATCTACAAATAATTTACAAAAATCTGATATTCCATTTATAATACCATTAAATTTTTAAAATGTTTCGTCTTTCGTCAAACCTTTGTCCCTAAACTGAAATTTAACTTGCACGTTTTCGTGCTGAGAAAGCGTCGAGACGATATATCTATCCCTCGAAAGAAAAGAGAAAGAGATGACGAGACGACAGACACATCGATCGAGAATGAAATAGAGAAAGAGAGAGAAAGATTGGTCGAGGTTGTAACATGTGACGGTGAGTGGGATCCGCAGTGCCGGAATAAAAGGCTCGTCGCAGTCATAAATTATAAGAGAAATCTTTCTTTTTTCAAACAAGTATATAACAATGCATAAAAAGAAATTCTGATTGAAAGAATCGCACGTGATATTAATTTGTTTCCGAGATAAAACGAGATCCCCCTTTGCGTCGACTCCGACTCACGGCTCGCCGTATAAATCCGCCGATCCTGATGCGAGCGAGAGAGGGAGACAGACTCGACTTGCGCGAAGGCTCTCTCGGATAACTACTTGCTAGCAGTCACGTACGTAACGCGGTACCAAGCACCTCGCGTGAAATCGACGTTTTCGTTTCTCTTGTCGCAACGGTACGACACGGTTTCGTCATCGATCTTTAACCCGCGAGCGATAGTCTATCGATCTCGTACGCACCGGCCGACGTTCGCCCGTCTACCGCAGTGATAATCGCATAGTGCGCCGATAGTGTGTGATATAATTACAGTGAGAACATCTCTTGCTCTCTTGCCTGCGACTCATTGCACACAGTGGATGCGAAAGGTACGTTCAATTATGAGAAGTCTCGCGTTTACAGACCGAAACGTGTCGCGCATTGACACGTGCTCGCGAAGACTCGTGGAAGCATCTCTTTCAGTATGTCCGTTTCATAAGTGCATGCACGTGCGTATGTATGTGTGCCCCCTGAGGTTTATTCCTTCGCGTGTTACATAATAATCGTGCTAAATGAAATGGGCGACAATTACGTAGTGGAAAGTCATAAAGATAACTGTGTCTAAAATTAATATTTTGTATTAATTGAAAAAAATGTTTTTTATTGAAACATTAAAATGGGAAATATACTCATTAATTTATCAAATATAGATTTATTATGAAATTAGTGAAAATATAAAATATAAGAATCTTAATTTCTGTATTTTTGAAATAATAATTAATTTTATTTGTGTATTTCCACACCATAATTTTTTATTAAATTTTTCGAAATTAAAATCTAAATTATCTAGACTGTACTGCGATTAGAATAGCTATAAACAGCCGCGCGTGTTTCTAGAGATACATATATTTGCTTTACAGATCGCTATTGTATAAAAATCAAGTGCACACAGATCGAAATTATAAATTCGATAATTTGCATTTCGCGCACGCATTTGCGTCGAAGGACAATTTCGTATCATTGTCGCCCGGTGTCCTTTTGACGTTCGAATGTCATTATGCGAAGAACATTAACTCTCGGAAGTGATAGGCGAAGGTTTCGATTTACATTTTGCGTTGCGAGATTAGAAAAAAATGTGGATTATCTTAAAATAATGTTGGATCTCTTACAGTATCGCGAAATACTTGACGCTACTCTTATTAATAGATTAATTTCTAGTTGAGTTACCTAATATATAGCCAGTTTTTATATATATTAGTATCCAACTATGTCACTATTATACGAGTGGAATATTACCATTCTTTATAACGTAAGAACTCATTGAATCAACTCGTATTAGGTGTCAACTAAATCGATGCGTGCGAATGATGTTAATAACACCGCTGGATAACCCGTGAAACACAACGCAAATTAATAATTGCGTAATCTAAATTAGCGAGCGAACAATTTGCATTTTGCGTATTTTTGCCGATTTAATTTGTAACGAAAAAGATTTACGAGCCATTTATAACTATTTTTAAAAATATCAATATTTAAAATATCTCGGATGCCTAATTAAAATTAATATTATAATTGAGATTTTATTTATCTTTGGTATCCGCGCGTGTTTTATTTTGCAATAATTAGGGGAGAGGAGGGGAAAGAAATCGGATATTGTAATATTCTATCTAAAAAATAATGTATACGATAATATAATGCTTGATGTATAATGATCATAAGATGCAATGGTATCGTTCGAAATCCTTTTTTATTTCAAACAGATATTTAAAAAATCTTTACGTGGATGATATTACCCTTTTTGCCATCTTTCATTAGAATGCTACATTTTTCGAAGATTGAAAAAAAAAGTTTATTAGCGACATTGATCGGAGCGATGCGATTGGTCGATCGTGAAACGCGCGATGTGAATGAGCTATACACGGCCCGAAATTAACAGAGTATGCATTTTGCGTGTGTCACAATTGACACGGTGCCAGATTTCATGTCGAAGTAAGTTACAGGGACGAACGGACGATATTTTTAGATTAGGGGAGAGGTTGGTTCAGAGTAACATCTTTCCCAATATATACCGATGGATCGAGCTCTATATATTCTTTTCGCATAGCCAGAAATTTCGATTATTGTCTCTCTCTCTCTTTTTCTTTATCTCTTTCTCGCACGCTTGAATTTCATTCAGCTCGTCAATAGTAAACAACCTACAACAACGTTTTAGATATCCGTGCATGACCTTTTTTCTTTTTTTCTTATCCCATGATTATCAACGCGCGGTTAGATTATTTTTAGTTTTCGATTAGGTCGTAGACAAAGCAAATGATAGCCGCATAAACGCTGCATCAGCAAAAACGGCGATGCTGCTTTAACTGCAACGGGTGTGAAAATGCAATGGCGAATCGCAGTTGTGATATTAATTTGTGCAATCTTTGTATAACGAACTTGTATCAATTATGATAATATGAATGAAATATAATATGAATAAATTTCACCGCTTAGAGTGTTCTCTTATTTCCAGAAATGTGATTCTCTCGTGACAAAAAGTAGAAAGCAAATTAATATCACAATTTTATACTGATTAATATTTTTTTTTTTTTTTTTTTTTTTTGAAGAATCGTAAAATTATTCGTTCTCACGGTTTTATCTTCGCGAATCAAACTCCAATTTCGTCGGTGTCGTATT